CTTATACTCAAGCCAATGCCCTTGGCTCATGCCTGTAATCCTAGCTATTTGGAAGGCTGAGATTGTTGAGACAGGTTTGAGGTTAGTCTGGCAGAAAAAGTGTGTGAAAAGTTTCTGGTTTGAAGCCATCTCAGGCAGAAAAAGTTCTTGAGAAACCTTCTCAACAAAGAGATAGACACGTGCTAGCTGGAAATATGGCAAATAAATCACACCCAGGCAGAAAGTGAGATCCTATTTTAAAAAATAACTACAACATTGGGCTGGTGGTATGCTCAAGTTGTAGAGCACTTGCCTACAAGGCCAGGTTCAAACCCCAGTACCACACATGCGCACACGTGCACACACACACACCTCACAATAATGCACAATCATTTAGTCTTTCATAACATGGAGAGGAAACAGTAACAAAATTAGCCTAATATTTTATGATAGAAATCACTGTACTCTGTGGTACTTGAAATTTCCATCTAATCAAATTGATGAAGGGTTTAATGATAAAGACTTAAATTGTTGAAAAGACAACTCAAATGTAGTAGGCTTATGGACGACTGTTCTGGATACAAGCAGTCTTCAATAATAGATACGGGATATGGGCGTATGTATATTCAGTAATTCAACCTCACACAAGAGTCAAACCAACAGAAAGAAGGGCAGAGGCATAGGTTGACCTTAATTTTCCTCCATCTACACTGCCCCAAAGGCCATATACACATTGGACAGTAGCTTTTTGCTCCATATTAGGGATAACCAAACAAGCTTTACTGAACAGTAGGTGTGTTGTTGTTTTGGCAATCACTAAACTTGATATGGTAGCAATTATGGGATTGGTGGAACATGCCACAAGGAATCAAAAGAGACTCTCAGGATGCAGGGTTGAAAAAAGTATGATTTATTAGGAAGAATAACAGTATTTTATGTACTTGGTATTTAACAGACAAGGTCTTGGCTCTATCTGAAGCCTAAAATACCACAAGCTAAGAGACTTGAGAACTCTTTATAGCTTCAGAGTTTTAAAAATTAAAATTTAGTAGAAATTGATCTATTGGATAACACTGGAAAAATGTGAAATATTAATAGCATCAGGGGCCATATATAAAATATCCCATCTGGAAAAATAGTGAACAAATGAATCAAGCATGACAGTGACAATATACTTTCTTCTAAAAATATAAGTGTTTAGTAGCAATTCTGTATTTTTCAAGCAGCAAAATCTATAAATTATAATGTAAAAATCAAATCACTTTTTTTTTTTTTTGCTGGTCTGGGGCTTGAATTCAGGGCTTGGGCTCTGTCACTCAGACTCTCTGTGCTCAAGGCTAGCGCTCCACCACTTGAACTGCACAGCACCACTTCCATTTTTTTCTGAGTAGTTTATTGGAGATAAGAGTCTGAGGGACTTTCCTGTCCAGGCTGGCTTTGAACTGCAATCCTCAGATCTCAGCTTCTGGAGTAGCTAGGATTACAGGTGTGAGCCACAGGTGCCTGACTCAAATTGCTCTCTTTTTGCACAGTAGCTATATATATTTTTTTAAGTCAAAGGACTCTAAACCCACCAACTCTAGACTTTTAAACGTTCTTTTTCAGTCCCAGGCTCTTAAGTATACTAGGTTAGCATGCTATCACTGACTGCTAGTGGACTTGGGGAGAAAATAAATCAATGCAGTTGATTTCCTCAATTGAAAATTATTTTGACCACCTATTCCACATTCACTCATGTTAGACATTGTTCATGCATTCATGGATATACCAGACATACTCTGCCCTCGTGGTCTATTCTCTAATAAAAGAAGCTGATAAATATGCTGCTTTACAATGTGGCATGAGAAGTGGGTGATAGGAAAGTATAGGTTTCATATAAGAACCAAGTACTTAACCAGGTACCTGATGTCTAAGGCTGTATATAGCTTTAATTGGGAAAAGTTAATGAAGGTAAAGCATGTACAAAGTTCTGGAAGAAGGACAGCATATTGTTTTTAAAGAACTGGGAAAAAAACAGGTTAGTCTAGGAAAGGAAGTTGGTAGTATGGAAAGACTGAGGTATGCAAGCTTTTAAGAGCCTGGTAAAAATCCTAATAAGGGCTTTATTCTAATAGCAGTAAGAAGTTAGTAAAATGATTTATGTCATGGAAATCAGAGTCGTATTTTAGAATAGTACTGTTACTCTACAGTGGAAAGTGAAGGCAAGGAGGTGAAATTAGGGTTCTCAGGTAGCATTCCAGGTGAGATGAAAGTGGTATGCACTAGGGTAGTGGTGCTGAAAATGAAGAGAATAGAAAGATGAAAGAAAATTGTAGACATAGAGAGGACTTGGTAACAGGTTATATGTGGGCCATATAGAAAAAGCTAAAGATCTCACCTAGAGTTCTTACTTGAACAGTGTGGGGAGATATCTCGAGACATTTGCTGAGAAGGAAAATGCAGAAAGTAAAGATTTAGAAGAAAGATGCTGAGATCCCATTTTGGACATACTCAATTTGAGGAACTATGGAATAAACCAGTGCAAATACCGGGCAAACAATTGAATGGATGGGTCTTAATTCTATCAGTGCTTAGATCTGGATTCAGATGTGACATGGTCTGAGGTGATATACAGTGACTGATTGTCCTCATTCAATATTAAATGTGGGGCAGAGACAAGAGTTACCAAAACAAACAAACAAACAAACAAACCCATATCCACCAACTTAACTGAAGCCTTAATTTGTATATTATATTCTTGTAGGCCAAATCTATTACTAGAGGCAATAAACATGAAAATATTATTTGATATTTTTCTTTTTCTTCCCCTGTAAAGTCATAAAGTGGTAATGAAAACACTGTAAATAAAACAAAAATTTGTAAGTTAAAATATAGTCTATAAACCAGGCAGCCATGAATTGCTCAATGTCTAGCTTCAGCTATTTTTAGCTTTTTAATATTGTAACTGGATTTTTCCTTATGCCATAATTTTTTTGGGGGAGGGTCTGGTCGTGGGGCCTGAACTCTGGGCCTGGGCACTGTCCCTCAGCTCTTCAGCTCAAGGCTAGCGCTCTACCACTTGATCCACAGCGCCACTTCCGGCTTTTTTCTTTTTGCTTATGTGGTGCTGAGGAATCGAACCCAGGGCCTCATGCATGCAAGGCAAGCACTCTACTACTGAGCCACCTTCCCAGCCTCACTTATGCCATAATTTATACCCAAACAGTTATGTAACAGTTTTTCTTTTTTGACTGCCTAGACAGTTTTGGTGGTTCTGCAGTTTAATGGTAGCCAAGATAGTTTTTTTCATCCAAACATCTGATGAAGTAGATCTATGTTTCAGGAAAGCGTGTAAAAGATCCAAATACAGTTTTGGATGGGTAGATGGGGATTTACTTTATACACTTTCTTTTCTTTTCTTTTTTTTAAATTTGGCAGTGCCAGGGATTGAATGCAGGATCTCTCACACTTGCTAGGTAAGCATTCTACTTGAGTCATACCCATATCCTTTAGCTTTTATTTTTCAAATACCTAGGCTCTCACACTAGCTTTGGCTGGGCTGGCGTTGATCCTAGCTCCTCCAGTCTCTATCTTCTGAGTATGTGGGATTACAGGCATGTACCATCACATCTGCCTACATGCTTACTTGCTTTTCTTTCCCTTTTCCTTCCTTCCTTTTTTTTTCTCCCGAATTTTCGCCTTTCTTCCTTCCTCCCTCCCTTCTTTCATTTTCTCTTTTATAAAATGTGTCATTTTTTCCCTTTTTATATGCTATAGGAATAGAAATGAGAATGTGGTCTCTAGGGTGATGAATCAGTGTACAGATATATTTTTAAGCAGTGGCTCTCAAGGAAAAAGATCCTTTATTTGTAGGGTTGGTCAATGTTCTGTGGTATGAATACTTTCAGGATAATCAATTTAAGCCACCAACTTAATGTCACTGAAAGTATTAAAAAAATGTACACCACTGCTAGGTGCTGGTGGCTCATGCCTGCAATCCTAGTTACTCAGGAAGGCTGAGATCTAAGATCACAGTTCCAAGCCAACCTGGACCAGAAAGTCCTTGGCACTCTTATTTCCATGTAACCACCAAAAAGCTGGAAATGGAGCTGTGGCTCAAGCCTCGAGTGAAAAAGCATAGGGACAGAGCCCAGGCCCTGAGTTCAAGCCCCAGGACTGGTACATAGGCAGACACAAACTGACACACAGACACAGACACAGACACATCAAGTATACTATTGGCTTTTGGATATGTCAGTGCAAGCTGGCTGTACTAGTAGTCTGTATAGTGTAGACTATACTAGGACTGGTAATTAGGTATGAAAAAATACCTTTGTACTTAACTGTTTAAGATAGTAGAAGATTGAAAACCACGCATCAGTGGTTCACACGTGTAATTCTAGCTACTCAGGAAGCTAAGATTGAAGGATCATGGTTCCATAAGTCACTACCTAGCCTAGACAGGAAAGTCTATGGCATTAAAAAAAAATCTCAAATTAACTAGAAGTGGAGCTGTTGTTCAAGTGATAAAGTACTATCCTTGGATGAAAAGCTAAGGGACAGTCCTCAGGCCCTGAGTTCAAAGCCCAGTACTGGCACACAAAAAAATTAGAGGACTTAATTCCACAATATTCTGAGTTTTTATTTTAAGGAAAATTGATTTACTCTTGCCATCTATATACTCAGCTTATTTTATAGATATTAACCTTTATCCTTTGAATCAAGGGCTGACAGAATGGATGATGTATACATTAATAGTCTAATAATCTTAACATTATAATTTCCTATTTCTTTATTCATAGGCATTGAGTTTCTAAAATTGCAATGAAATGACTGAGGATTGTTTTCAATTTAATTTCTTATGCCAGGAAACAAAGAAATTACCTTGTCCTTTTAAGGATACCTATGAAGACTTCATTCTATTATATTTCTTAAAAGAAAACATTTTGGCAAAGTTTGGTGTCTTATTTTTGCCAAAAGATTTCATGGCATTCTGCACTAGTCAATAAAATATGTAGAAAGAAGAAAAGCAAAATCTTCTCTATTTCTTTATATAATTTAATGCATACCTTATTAATACCAACATGGAAATGGATAGTATTGACAATATACTAAACCAGGACTATATTAGGACTTTTCAAAATGTATTTTCAATTTAATTTATTTTCAACAGTGAATTTTCAATTCAATGTATTTGATTTTCAAGGTATTTTAATGTACTTTCAATATTAGGACTTATTTTTCATGTATTTTCAATGCATTTTCAATGTATTTCAATTATTTTCAACTGTTAGAACCACACTCCTTACAATATATACTATCTTTTGCATTTTAAAGAGAAATTAAATTTCTGATAGTAATAGACAAGAATATGCTTATTAATGTTCTATGCAGATATACAAAATCTCTTCTTCTGAAAACTTTGCAATTCTATGGTATACAAAGCAAAATTTTCACACAACTTGTACCTACATTAAGCTCATAAAAGTTACTGTAAAAACTCTCAAGCCCAATTAAAAACACAATGATATAATACAAAGTTTTTGTTTCCAAAACCCAAATTTTAAAAGGCCCACACTTATACCAATGTATACTAAAGTATACTTTTTTGTGCCCCCAACTAGTATTTTTGTTTAGGATTATCTGATTTTAGAAATTAAAGTTAAATGTTTTTCATTATTTTCTGTTTCAGGATGAAAGATACTGAGAACTCACAGAATAAAATTGTGAAATTGGATTGGGTAAAACTTTACAAAACATAAGAGTAAACATGCTTCAGTTAGCAGCACCCTACCAAAGGAAAATGCCCATTGTCTATTTTCATTGCTTTTAATTTGAATTCCTAGATGATTATCTACTTCTTTATTCAAATAATCTTTGAGATGAAAGTGGAAAGACTGAAGGTCCTCTAAAAAAGTGTCACTAAAGCCAACTTCTGTTTTCAAAGTGTATTTAAAGAAATGCTTTTCAATATACAACCCCACAGAACTGAGTTAAGAAACATTAATAACATGGCTAGCCAATTAATGACTTGGCTTTAATCTCAGAATATTAAAATTGGTTTTAAGTTCTAAATTTTAGCATCTGATTTTATACTATAATACTGTACTTTCTATGTTATCAAAAAGATGATCAGATTTTTAAATAATTACAATAAAATATAAAATTTTTTGGGGGGAATCCATGCCAAGATAGGAAATACAGTGTTGTAACTCTTAAGATAACTGCAAAAGAACTATAAAATTATATTTTTTGAAAAAAATACACTGAAATCTGCAAGTGGTTAGATACAAGAAGATAGGTATTACATTAGGATGAAGCCAAATATGGACTTGGCTTATGATATTTTAAAAAATCCACAAAAAAGTAATTAGCACCAAAATTGTCTAAGTCAATAATATACTGAAGAAATCTCAGGCCTGAATGTTACATTACAGAAAAGTTGTATTTAACCTGAGAACGTCCCAGCAATAAATATGTTCCTTTCAATCTCTAGTAATATGCTAGCTTTATTCATTCTTACCACAATATTAAGGTAGTATGTAGTAATTATAATTTAAATTACCTTGGTTCAGGCTGAGCAAGGGACAACAGACAAGTATTTCCCACATAATGTGGAATTATTTGATGGAGATGAGGGTAGAACAGTTTTCCAACTAAAACTTATTTTTAGCTCATTTCCTTTTTTCCCAAAATGTTTTATTAAAACTCTATAAGAACTATACTGCTTGATGTGAACTCCAACTTATTTTCCCTGCTCATTGGTTGGTGATGTTATTTAAGATTTGGAGTGGGGATATAGGTGTCTAAAGTGAAATATAAATCACAGTAGTGAAATAAGTGTTTTGAATAAAATATATATTCAAAATATATATTGAACCTTGTTATAACAAAGAATTTGGTTCAATTTTAAATGACATCCACTTATAAATTTAGTTACAAAACAGTCAACACACAATCAAAAAAACAAATTAAATATTTTGGCTTTCAAAAAGCCAAAATGTATAACTCCATCAATTACATACATGGCTTCCAAATGTCCAAGCAACTCATTCATTACTGTTGCACATAAATGATGACAAGGCAAAGAACAGCAACCAGTCCAAGGGCTTGCAGGCCAAGGAACCACAGCATAAGCCAAAAGAAGATGACTATTACAGGTTCCACAATTCGTTCTCCAAAGTACATCCTTGTGAAGCCCATATTGAGGAGGTTTTTGTTCAGTTCACCAAAAAGCGTTCCCATCTTTTTGTAGTCATCTCCACCAGGCTCACCAGTGTGGTTTTGTGAGTCTTCAGTAGCCTTAAGAAAAAAGATAACCAAGCATGAACATAAAATAAGAAATATATAAAGGTCATTAAGAGTAACAACTATCTCCTAATTCTTTTTTTTCTTTTTTTGTGGTCCATCATGGGACTTGAACTTAGAGTCTGGGTGCTGTCTCTGAGCTCCTTTTTGCTCAAGGCTAGAGCTCTACCACTTTGAGCCACAGCTCCACTTCCAGTTTTCTTGTGGTTAACTGGAGAAAAGACTCTCATAGACTTTCCTGCCTAGGCTGGCTTTGAACTGGGATCATCAAATCTCAAGCCTCCTGAGTAGCTAGGATTAGCTTTGAACTCAGACACGTGTACTACCAGATAAGCAGTGATCTGTTCTTGGAAGTCTGACTCTCAGTCTTCTCAGTTTTAGGAATTTCATTGCTTTTCTTTGCTGCCCCAGTTCTAGGAGTGGTGGTTGCTTCTGGCTGTTGCTGTCTCTGTGATATTTTAATTACCCTGGCTTATCTCATAGTTCTTTATCTTTCAAAGTAGAGGCATACTTCTGATACTCATTCAACAAGTATTTGTTAGCTTAATATAATGGGCATCTTCCTTTTGTATTGACATAAGAAAATTGTGTCTGACTGGATGCTGGTGGTTTATGCCTATAATCCTAACTACCCAGGACACTGAGATCTAGAAATTGCAGCTCAAAGCCAGCCCTCTGGGTTAAGAAAGCCCAGGAAAATCTTATCTCCAATTAACTACCAAAACTCTGGAAATGAATCTGTGGTTCAAGTGGCAAAGAGTGCCTTGAATGAAAAAGCACAGCACACCCAGGTGGGGTTCAATCTCTAGTACTGGCGCTGAAAAACAAACTGTCTGAACCCACCTTTCAGAATGTAGAAAGCAGTGACTTTCCAATCCCCGTGGAATCAACTTTGAGGAAGCTCTTGACACCAGACCACTGATGCACAAAATGAAAGGAATAGGTGGTTCACTTCCATCTGTTTTCTAGTTGCTTTTCTCCTGTTTTAAGAGGCAGGCTTCTAATTGCTCTGTCCTTGTGAGTTTTTTGTCCTTAGTCCATCATGCTGAACTATATTTAGCTAAACTCCCAGGCAAGCCTCAGCTAAGGAAACTCCTGCATAAGCCCTTTCATAATTCTCTAAATGCCTCTTACTAATCCCATCAGGAGAAACACATAGGATTAATTGTGTGTAGGCCAATAGGATAGCTAGAAGCCAGTGTCCTCAAAAATGTCCATGTGTAGGCAACTACACATACTATAAAAGATGTATTTCTATCATCTCCCAAATCTTACTACAATGAAATTACTGTCTAAGCTTCAGATCCTCTTCTACTTTTTTTTTTTTTTTTGTCGGTTGTGGGACTTGAACTCTGGGCCTGAGTACTGTCTCCCAGCTCTTCAGCTCAAGGCTAGTGCTCTACCACTTGAGCTACAGCGCCACTTCCCGGGCTGGCTTTGAATTGAGATCCTCAGATCTCAGCCTCCTGAGTAGCTAGGATTACAGGCGTGAGCCACCGGCACCCGGCTCTTGTACGGTTTTGATATCATTTGTCCCTTGAAAGGTTCATGTGATGCAAGCTTGGTCTTCAGGGTTAGGTTAGCAGAAGAAATCTTGAAGAAGTGGAGATGCCAGGTCCTGGTGGCTCATGAGGCTAACTACTTAGGAGGCTGAGATCCAAGGATCATGGTTCAAAGCCAGCCCAGGCAGGAAAGTCCGTGAGACTCTTATCTCTAATTAACCACCAGAAAACAGAAGTGACACTGTGTTCAAGTGGTAGAGTGCTCGCCTTGAGCTGAAGAGCTCAGGGACAGCACCCAAGCCCAGAGTTCAAGCCCATGACTTCCCCCCCACCAAAAAATAAAAGAGGAGGTGCGGATTTAGTGGGAGATTATTATATCAACTGGGCAAGGGGTGCTTTTGTTGCTTCAAATAGTTCTTGTAAAAGGACTGTTTTAAAAGCCAGAGCCTGGCCTTACCCATCTTCCTCTGGGTCCCTGGGTTGATCTTGTTAAGTTTCATTCTGCCAATAATCCTTCAGTACAGTGGCAGCAACTGATTGCAGTTTGGGACTTTTCTTTCTGCTCTAGGTACTAGCTCCAGCTTTGTCTTTTTCTTGGATATCTGGTTCTCTAGTCTATAGGGTCCCTTCTTTAAACACAGACACCCATACCACTGGTAAACTGTGATCTGTTCTGACTTTCAGCTCTGTGGGGCCTTTTCTCAGTCTTCTCAGTTTTAGTAATTGCATTGGTTTTCCTTGCTGCCGCACTTCTAGGAGTGGTGGTTGCTTCTGGCTGCTGCTGTCTCTGTGATCTTTTAGTGTAGTATTTTATTTAAAGCAAGCAGTACAGTAGAATCCTATTGAGCACACATGAAATCACAGACTGTAGGGCTCGTTACCAGGGTAGCTGACTTACTGAACCAGGGCGGGAGGCTTGGAGTCATTCCAAGATTGTCTGCTCTAGCAAGTTTCAGAGGGAGGCTGATGCACTCATCATACTTGGGGCTTCTTTGGTTACTGAAGACTTTCCCAGTATTAATGGCTTTCATGTGAAGTACGCTAGTCCAATATAATAGGTACACTCTGAACATTTAATCTTTATAAAGTCACTTACATCTACCAATGCTTGTAAGTTCCTCCGTAAGAAGAAAGTAGGGGTTGCAACAGTAAGTCAAAGTAAGGAATTAGTTAACCCCCAGGGGCCAAGTGAGAAGGGATGGGCCTGTAAAGGGCCTTGGAAGGCCTGCAAGGAGAATTTTGGCCAACCTGTGTCTGTGGAAGTCTGCTGTTTTCATCTTCCTTTAATTATGAAGAGCTTCAAGTACACATAAAATTAAAGAAAGTGTAATGAATATGTACCTATGAACTGGATTTAGTAATTACTAAAATTTTACCATGTTACCAAATAGTATTGCTTAATCTGAGCAATCAAGTAAAGAGGAAAACACAGTCAGTTGAAGAATGTTTCAAAGTAATGTATTTCCCACAAGTAAAATTCTTTAGAAATACTCAAGATATCCAACAATAGGGACAATCCCAAGAAGACAACAGAAAATATATAACACAGGCAATATTGTTAAATCAGAAAGATTACAGAGAATCTCATTTCCGTATTTTCTGTATTTAAATTATCCTGTTGAATGCTATAGTAATTAAGAGGCCAAGCAATGGTGTGGTGGTAAATTTTAAACATAAACATAAACTAGGCTTTGTAGAAAGAAAGATTTGTAGCAGAAAGATGTGTCATTCAAAATTATCTCCCAATTTTGGTATTAGTTCTTCCATTTTGGCTAATTTGAAGTTACTAACAGCCAGCTTGCAAAGTCCTTGAAAAATTAATAATTTGCTCTTAAGGTCCACTAACAGCTAGCACTAACACTCTACTATAGGTAGAGCAGGTAAGTTGAGATAAACAACTACAAGGTTATAATCCGTGAGTTTAATCCTGATAATTCTATCAGTTGGGGTGTATTTTTGTGCTTGTATGTACTGGTACTGGGGCTAGAACTCAAGAGCCTTGAATTTCTAGTTTGGCTTTATTTATTTATTTATTTACTTATTTATTGACTGGTCTTGCAGCATGAATGAACTCAGGGCCTGAGTGCTGTCCCTCAGCATTTCTGCTTAAGGCTATTGCTCTATTACTTGAGCAACACTTTCAGTCTGGCAATTGCTGATTAATTGGAGACAGAATCTCAGGCTTTTCTGGATTGATTAGGAACCTGATTCTCAGATCTCAGCCTCTTGAGTAGCCATGAGCCACTGACGCCAGGCTGGTGTATTATTCTAATTATTATTATTATTAAGCTTATAAGAATGACACATTCAGATGGTGTCATAGAATAACTGCATTTTAAATGAATGGAATTCAGGAAAATTCTATTAAGAAATATGTCTTTGATGGTGTCATAGAATAACTGCATTTTAAATGAATGGAATTCAGGAAAATTCTATTAAGAAATATGTCTTTAGGGCTGGGAAGGTGGCTCAGTGGAAGAGGGCTTGCTTAGCATACATGAGGCCCTGGGTTCAATTCCTCAGTACCACATAAGCAGAAAAAGCCGGAAGTGGTGCTATGGCTCAAGTGGTAGATTCTAGCCTTGAGCTGAAGAGCTGAGGGACAGTGCCAAGGCCCAGAGTTCAAGCCCCAAGACTGCCCCCCTCCACAAAAAAGAAATATGTCTTTAATAGTCAGTGTGGTTGGATATAATGACACAAAACTACCACAAGTATCAGCAGTTGACTTGCTTCATGCAGATAGCAAAAGGGCATACAATTCAGTCATTTTTAGAAGTCCCTATTTACTATAACATTTAAACTGCCAGTATGATTGTGGGAAATAAGTGGTTTTTTCCAATGTTTCCATCGTAGTGAATGGCATCACCGACCACATGCCAGATCTGAAGGCCTCACCTGAGGTAATCTTGACTTCTCTACTTCACATCATCCTGCATCTTGCTTATCACTTTACCTTTATTTTACACTCTAAATGTCCTTAAATTGGCCAGTGAAACAGTGTCCTACCTCTAATGCACATGCATGGCACCACCCAACAGCCACAGTGATCCTTTCACACTCCAATCCAATCATGCCACCTCCACTCTGATTTTAGATTAAGGCTGAAATCTCTCAGAGGATCTATAGAAGCTGCTTAGCCTGGCCTCTGTCTAGGTCTCTAGACTCATTCTGTCCTTCCTCTCCCTCTGTCTCTGTTTCAGTCACACAGTTCTTTGTTTCAGCCTCAGGCCATGTTTTTGCCAGTTACAGGTTTTTAATATGCTGTTTTCTCTGCCTAAAGCACTCTTTTTTCTTCTCCTTTTCTCAGTATAAGACTTGCTTCTAGTAACATTAGATAATGTGCTTTCAAAGCATAATAATTTAATGCAAATGTGTGTGATTATTTGGTTCATATCTTTCTAACATTACTGTAAGCTTCATGCAATGAGGCAATATCTCTTTTCTCTGACTTTGTATTTCCTCTGAGATCACTATATAGTAGTACACTTTAGTAGCTTAAAAGAATACAAATACTTAACTTTATAGTTCCGAACTTTATAAATCATGTCCCCAGAATTGTGTTTCTTTTGCGAAGCTCTAGGAAAGTCTATTCCACATACTTGTAAGAGGATGTGTATAGTATTTGGTTCCTAGACCCCATATGTCTATCTTCAAGGCCAGTAATATATAGAATCCTTCTGATGACAGAAAGGAAAGATTCTGCTTTTGTTTTTCTCAAGACATGGCCTCTTTATGTAATGCAAAAAGCTGACCTTGAAATCCTCTGCCTATGAAGAAATGCTGAGATTATAGGCCTGTGCTACACCAGACTAATTCTCCGCTTTAATGCCCCAAGTGATTAAGCTTGGCTTGCCTGGGTAGTCCACGATGCTCTATGGTAAGGTCCTTAAACTTAATCACATTGGTAATGTGCCAGGTAACATTGTATTCACAGATCCTGAGGATTAAGATGTGAACGTGTTTGAAAAGACCACTATTCTGCCTATCACAGTGTTGTATTAAAATTTACTTATATATCTAATTCCTGTCACTACCTTTAGCCAATTAAGGATATTCATGACAAGAAGTATACTATATAAATTTTAACATTAGTATTTAGTATATTGCATCGTGCCTAGGCCCATGTCTGCTTACAATAAACCTCTGTTTTATGAACAATAACTTTAAAAGACACTAATAGGACTAATGAGTTTCTGGATCCTTGTATTTTCTTAGATATTTGAAATGTTGAGTAATAGTGGTACTGGTAGTATTATGAATGGATGATAGAAAAAGTTAACACTAAGTGCTTGCTATGTGAGGCACAGCACTGTCATTGTATGCCTTTACAATTATACTTAAGGGAGGCATTATTTGTTTCTCTTCATTTATAGATAAGGAAACTATCCCATTTCAAATGCATTAAATGAACAGACACCGACTTATACTTAGTAACTGAAGGATCTGTGATATAAACCCAGACAATCTTATTCCAGGGCCACATTGTAACTCACATTTTTTTCCTCCAGTTATTATATTAATAGCTAATATCCGTCAAATGTGGCTCTGAGGAGCCACATTTACGTAATTCATCTCTGAAAAAAGGAAAGCTATGGTAACACATTCTGTTTTACATAGAATGAGTACATTCAACACAGCAAACTGAACATTGGTACCATTTTTTGCTTTATCTTTTCCCACAGTTTAAACCTGTTTATCAAACAAGAAAATTGTTCAAGTTTTAATTTTCACCTTGTTTAAAAATGAGGATGAGGCAAGGCTATTTGTAGATAAGCACATCTTCACAGCTTTTAAAGTGACTGGAATCTAGATTCAAAGGTTGAAATAGAGAAAAAAAGGGAGGAAGGAAAAAAGAAAGCAATAAAGAGAAAGAAAAAAGGAAGGAAGAAAGCTAAAACCTCCAAGCAGAACGAAGCAACGTGCTTGGCAGAATTGCATTACACTTCACACACGAACAGTGCACTAGAGCAGGCACGCAGATGGAGCTTTTCCCTGTTCTAACATTAATCACTCTTGTGTCTGCCAAATTTTATTTTCTGTGTGTGAGGCCCCAGTGGAAGAACATTTGTCAAAGGACTTTCCTTTATGGCTACACAGAATACTGACAATGCTATGCACACTAAACAGTGTTCTCAGCCAAAGTGATATTCTTCTTCCTCTTTTTTATGATTGAAGATATATGTAAAAATAAATGGATGTTCTAATTGATTCACACAATCCTAAAAGATACTCAAAATGAATGATGAACCAATTTAAGGTGAATCCTTAAACCATAACATGATTTTTGAGAAGGATTCTTTAGATAATTAAACCAAAGTGTCTTACTATAGAAAGGACTCAAGAGGCCAAGCAACACAATCTATCGACAAAAATCAGAGGCTTAAGAGAATGGGACAGAATCAAATCCTACTCTCAGGTATTAGCTGCAAGGCATAGGGCAAACTATTGATTGTTTTCCGTATCTATAAAAGGAGCATAATACCTACTTACCTCACAGTTCTTTTTTTTTTTTTTTTGGTCCGATCGTGGGGCCTGAACTCTGGGCCTGGGTGCTGTCCCTCAGCCCTTCAGCTCAAGGCTAGCACTCTACCACCTGAGCCACAGTACCGGCTTTTTTTTTCTGCTTATGTGGTGCTGAGGAATTGAACCCAGGGCCTCATGCATGCAAGGCAAGCACTCTACCACTGAGCCACCTTCCCAGCCCTACCTCACAGTTCTTGTGATAAGAAAACATAAAAACATCTTCTTTATACATAGTAAACTCTCACAGTAATTATAATAATAATTATTAATGTCCTGAGATTTTTTTTTTATTTTTTTTACCATGCTACCTGACCTAATTAATTGAGGCAGTGTTTTCTATGCAACTTCCCTGTCCACGGTACAGTGCGCACAGTATACACTGGTGCAGTGTGCACTCAATATACACCGAGTACAAGGAACACACAGTAGTATGATAGAAGCTCTTGTCTATTCACTTGTAGAAAAGCACCCCACCTCTTTAAACAGGCTTGCCTGAGTCCATGACAAT